GTAACTTTAAAAAGATGAAACACATTAGTTGCACTCTCACTTTACCTAGTATTGTTTTAGACTACTAACAGGACTACTTTCAGCAATTAACAAAAGATAATCTATGTTCTTAGTTTGATTTTGGGACACATGTTCTCACTAAAAAGAGTACATTGCCAAAACATCTCTCTGCACACTGAGATTATGTATACTAACTGAAGATGATTTAGCAATGGGAAAAAGATTTAGATATTAGCAGTGCAATTCATATGAGTGAGACAAAGGACTCTGTTAGGTCCAACCCAAGAAACAATAAAAGTAAGGACAAAAACCGTGTGAGATAACACAAAGTACTAGGTATATGGTACTGTGAGTACCTGTGGGTCCCTGGAAAAGTGACATTCCCAGTTAGGTAATAAATAGGATTCATTATGACAGAAAAGAAGAAGACAAAAAAGTAGAGAGTGAAATGAACAAAGGAGTTTGAAGTCTACTTCCTATACCAAAACCATGGGTTTATGTCCATTCATATTTTTCTCATGGTGAATGACTTTCTCCTTCACTGCCTTAGGATCACTGCCCACTGCAGCACTCCACAGCAGCAAGCAAGTTTGGGAGAAAAAAGTGACAGCAAACAGAGAAACAGCTATCCCTCAAGATGGATAAGTGTGTCAAGATGGATAAAGGCTCTTATGAAAATGAAGTAAGTGAAATAAACTCAAGACCTCTGTCAGTGGTGGCTTAGGTTGAAAAGCAAGATCAGGCCAGGCTCAGACACAGGGGTGGGTCAGATGAGGGGGCTTCTGAATGAAGATAGCAATATTTTGAAGACAGGAAAGCATGCTCTATAGGGTCAGATACAACAGCACTATGACGTATCAGAGGACATGAGGAGGATATTCCCATGCTTCCTTCGATAGCTCAGCTGGTAGAGTGGAGGACTGTAGGCTCCCTGGCATGGCCATCCTTAGGTCACTGGATCAGCTCTGGCTCAAAGGAGTCACCTTTTGCCTCTCACACACATCTGGAAATGACACTGCTGCCTTTTTCTGATCCTGCCCAGGAGGCTTCCCTTCAAAGGTCTGTCCAGCCATGAGCTCCTGTCTGAGGCTGGGAAAATGACCAGCCAAGGCATTTCCTGGTGAACCCTTGGGCAGGGGATGGTGATTCTGACTATGGGGCTTGTCTGCACTCACCTCCAGCAGGAAAGTGAGTGAGTGGGTTGGTGGTGCAAGAGTGATATGAATGGGGGGTGCAGGCTTTGGGTGCAGGGCTGAGTGCCGGGGAGGGGAGAGGACCTCAGTCAGAGGCTGCAGCCTGGGGAATTAGCTCAAGTGGTAGAGCGCTCGCTTAGCATGTGAGAGGTAGTGGGATCGATGCCCGCATTCTCCAATGCTTTTCATTCCCTTTGCTTGGATACACGGCCCTTTGCCAGGGATCCATCTATTCTCTGGGGTCTGTGGGAAGATCCAAGGTGTGCCCTGGATTTACAGAGCAAGATGACATCCAGGGTTGTATCAAGACTGCCAGGGGCAGTTTGGCAAAGGAATTGATGTTCTCCCTCTTTGCTTGACAGCTCTCAAGTGTCAAGGGAAGTAGAGAAAAGGACATCAATGGAACAGAGCAACCTCAGTGGAGGGCCACCAAGGAACTCAAGGAATTCTCTTTAAAAACAGACTGAGGAGAGTAGGTGCTTTCAGTTTCCAGAAAGAGATGTTCAGAGGACTTACACATGATGTTCCAACACTCTGTTAGAAAACAGAGGGATGGCTGTCATTTTGTTGTATCTTATGCTTGAGCAGAGGGCTGAAGATAGCAGAGTGAAAGGGAATCAAGGGAAAATGCAGCAGGATATAGATAAGCTCTGTGTGGCTGTGAGGAAGTTCATCTGTAGAAGATGATGTTGAAAGAGGTTATGGAGCACATGAGCAAGGTTCTGTGATGTCTCAGCTGAGGCTGTTTGAAGGAAGATGTGGTAATAGAGGCATGATGGTGCACTGTGGCTTGGCAAAAGTGCTGGGCGAGGCCCTGGGCATGTTCCCATGCTTCCTTCGATAGCTCAGCTGGTAGAGCGGAGGACTGTAGGCTCCCTGTGCATGGCCATCCTTAGGTCGCTGGTTCAACTCCGGCTCGAAGGAGTCACCTTTTGCTTCTCACACACACATTCCACACTGCCACTGCCTCTTGGTCCTGCCCAAGGGGCTCCCCTTCAAAGGTCTGTCCAGCCTTGAGCTCTAGTCCTTGAGTCAAGGACAAGAGAAGTTGAGAAGTTGAACAGCCAAGGCATTTTTGGTCAGGAAATTGATTTTGAGCACACGTGTTGTCTGGAATCACAACCAGTAAGAACATGATCAGGTGGGTTGATGGTGTAAGAGTGATATGAATAGGAGGCTCAGTCTTTGGGTGCAGGGCACCCTGGGTCAGGGCTGGGTGCCTGGGAGGGGAGAGGACCTCAGTCAGAGGCTGCAGCCTGGGGAATTAGCTCAAGTGGTAGAGCGCTCGCTTAGCATGTGAGAGGTAGCGGGATCGATGCCCGCATTCTCCAATGCTTTTCATTCCCCTTGCCTGGATACAGGGCCTTGTCTGGGGTCCCTCTGCCTGCTGGTGTTATTAGGAGTTCTTTGTAGCTGGCTGCACAGATAACTACAGGAACAGGAGCAAGGGCTGTAGACTGGGGTATCTGAATCGTTCTGTTTACTTGGGATTAGATCAGTAGCCTTGCCCACCTTTATGCCTACCTACTCAAGTGGAGTCCTGTGTTATTGAGAGGAGCAAAACATCAAACTAATTTTTAAGTGTGGTAAAAAGAATGACTGGGAACCACTAAGCAGTGAGAGCCACCCTGCTAAGATCACAGAACAGATCCTCCTGGAATATACATCTAGACATGTGAAGACAGGGAGGTGTTTAGAGACAGCTGACATGGCTTCACTGAATACAAATGATGACTGACTAATCTAGTGACCTCCTACAATAGACTGATTGCCTCAGTGGACAAGAAATGAGCTGTGGATGTCATCTACCTGGACTTTGCTAAAGCCTTTGATGTCATCCCACACAACATCCTTGTCACTAAATAGGGGACATGGGGTTTGGGAGGATGGATTGTTCAATGAATAAGGAATGAGTTGGATGGCCACATCCAAAGAACTGTAGTCAACAGCTCAATATCCAAGTGGAAACAAGTACCAAGTGGTGTCCCTCAGGGTCTGTATTGGGACCAATACTATTTAATACCTTAATTAATGATGCCATTGTGAGTGGCATTGAGTGCAGCCTCAGCAACTTTACAGATAAAAAAGGGAGCAGTGCAATTTATATGCTTAAGGGAAGTTATTCCATCCAGAGGGACCTCAAGAAGCTCAAGCAGTGTGTCCATGTGAACTTCATTAGGTTAAATAAGCCTTCAAGCTCTTGCACCCGGGTCAGGGCAATCACCAGTATCTGTACATGCTGAGAGAGGAATGGATTGAGAGCAACTGTGTGGAGAACGACTTGGGGGTGCTGGTGGACGAAAAAACTTGACATAAGCTGGCAATGTACCTTTGTAGCCCAGAAAATCAGTCATATGCTGGGCTACATCAAAAGTAGCATGGCCAGCAGTTGTTCTGCCCCTTTATCACCCTGTTGTGAGCCCACACCTAGAGTGCTGTGTCCAGCCATGGGTTCCCTAGCATAAGGAAGACATGCTTAGAGCTGGTCCAGAATAGGGACACAGGACTGACTGGGGATGAAATACCTTTCCTGTTAAGACAGGCTGAGAGAGTTGGGACTGTTCAGCCTGGAGAAGAGGAGGCTCCAGAGAGACCTAATAGCAACGTTTCAATTGATAAAGAAGGCTTATAAGAAAGACAAAGACACTTTTTAGCAGACCTTATGGTGAGAGAACAAGCAGAAACGGTTTTAAACAAAACAAGGTAGATTTAGATTATGTTAAAAGAAATTCTTTATGATGACAGTGGTGAGGCACTGGAAAAGGTTGCCCAGAGAACTTGAAAATACCCTATCACTGCAAAAGTTCATGTCTGGTTGGATGGGCCTTTAAGCTATCTAATCTAGTGGAAGAGTCTCTTGCCCACAGCAGGAAAGTTGGACAACATGAACTTAAAAGTTCTTTTCAACCCAAAATATTCCATTATAATACGTGAAAGACAGATGGTCACAAACTGCAGGCTTTGGGTGAGCTATGCAGAAGGTTTCAAATGCCTCTCAGGAGGTTATTGACTCAACCATTAGACCTTTTACTGTGGTGATGGGAAGAAGAGTAAGACAGTGGGCCACAACTGAAGCAGGAGAGATTCCATTTTTTCCCTCCTCAGGTCAGACAGGCAGGAGAAGAAGAGTGTCCTGGAGTGCTGTGCACTCCATGCTTGGAAGTTGATGTAACATAAATGGCTGAACCCTTGAGTCACCTGCAGTGATCCTTGAGCTTGGGCTGCTGTGGGAGATTTGAAAAGATGTGTCCTGAGCCCTCATTCAAACTGATTGCTTTGACTGCTCTGTCACAGAGGAAGAACTTATTTGGGTCCCTCCATTGCTGTGCTGGTGGAGTGAAGAGCTCTAGGCTCCCTTCCATGGATACACATCACATCTGTTGGGGTGCTGCAAGCCCTAATACATCTGAAATGACCTCATAACTTTGGATACGTCCAGCCACAAAGACTCTTGACACATACACTGATGTGCAGATGGAAGTTCTGCTTGACTTCAACCCTCTCTTGTCTGGACCTGCCTGGCATTCCCTGGACACATGATCATCATTCTGACCTCTGCACTGACTTTCTTGCTTGCAGTGCCTGGTGGTGACTTCTGCTCAGGCCTCTGATGTGGGATGAGCCACCATGGCTGGGTCTGCCCTGGTTTGGTGTTGTGGACATGAGATTTTCTGGGCAATGTAACACTAAGGTAAGTGTTTCTTTTTTCCTCCTGGACAGTGTCATGCAGATATATGTGGGGTGGTATGGAAGTGAATGGTTGTCTGAGTGTGTGCTGGGAGAGGCCCGGGGCATGTTCCCATGTTTCCTTTGATAGCTGAGCTGGTAAAGTGGAGGACTGTAGGCTCCCTGGCATGGCCATCCTTAGGTTGCTGGTTCAACTCTGGCTCAAAGGAGTCACCTTTTGCCTCTCACACACATCTGAAACTGGTGCTGCTTCCCCCTGGGCACCCCCAGAATGAGCTGTCCAGCCATGAGCCATTGTCTGACTTTGGGAAGATGACGAGCCAAGGCATTTTTGGGTGAACGCTTGGTGACAGACAGTGGTTCAGAGCCCTGGAGTTGTCTGCAGTCCCCCCTAACAGGAAAGTGAGTGGGTGGGTGGTAATGTGCAGTTGATTAGGGGGGCTCAGGCTTTGGGTGTAGGGCATGCTGGGTCAGGGCTGGTTCAGGCCTGGGAGGGGAGAGGACCTCAGTCAGAGGCTGCAGCCTGGGGAATTAGCTCAAGTGGTAGAGCGCTCGCTTAGCATGTGAGAGGTAGTGGGATCGATGCCTGCATTCTCCAATGCTTTTCATTCCCCTTGCTTGGATACACGGCCCTTTGCCAGGGATCCATCTATTCTCTGGGGGCTGTGGGAAGATTCAAGGTGTGCCCTGGATTTACAGAGCAAGATGACATCCAGGGTTGTATCAAGACTGCCAGGGGCAGTTTGGCAAAGGAATTGATGTTCTCCCTCTCTGCTTGACAGCTCTCAAGTGTCAAGGGAAGTAGAGAAAAGGACATCAATGGAACAGAGCAACCTCAGTGGAGGGCCACCAAGGAACTCAAGGAATTCTCTTTAAAAACAGACTGAGGAGAGTAGGTGCTTTCAGTTTCCAGAAAGAGATGTTCAGAGGACTTACACATGATGTTCCAACACTCTGTTAGAAAACAGAGGGATGGCTGTCATTTTGTTGTATCTTATGCTTGAGCAGAGGGCTGAAGATAGCAGAGTGAAAGGGAATCAAGGGAAAATGCAGCAGGATATAGATAAGCTCTGTGTGGCTGTGAGGAAGTTCATCTGTAGAAGATGATGTTGAAAGAGGTTATGGAGCACATGAGCAAGGTTCTGTGATGTCTCAGCTGAGGCTGTTTGAAGGAAGATGTGGTAATAGAGGCATGATGGTGCACTGTGGCTTGCAAAAGTGCTGGGCGAGGCCCTGGGCATGTTCCCATGCTTCCTTCGATAGCTCAGCTGGTAGAGCGGAGGACTGTAGGCTCCCTGGCATGGCCATCCTTAGGTCGCTGGTTCAACTCCGGCTCGAAGGAGTCACCTTTTGCTTCTCACACACATCCCACACTGCCTCTTGGTCCTGCCCAAGGGGCTCCCCTTCAAAGATCTGTCTAGCCATGAGCTCTCGTCCAACCTTGAGAGACTGAACAGCCAAGGCATTTTTGGGTTAACCCTGGTCAGGAAATTGTAGTTTTGAGCACACGTGTTGTCTGGAATCACACCCAGCAGGAACATGATCAGTTGAGTTGTTGATGGTTTAAGAGTGATATGAATGGGAGGCGCAGGCTTTGGGTGCAGGGCACTCTGGGTCAGGGCTGGTTCAGGCCTGGGAGGGGAGAGGACCTCAGTCAGAGGCTGCAGCCTGGGGAATTAGCTCAAGTGGTAGAGCGCTCGCTTAGCATGTGAGAGGTAGTGGGATCGATGCCTGCATTCTCCAATGCTTTTCATTCCTCTTGCTTGAACCTGTGCTGCAAAGAGGAGCACATTATCTAGGACTATGTCCATGGCAACATGGGCTGTGAATTGAACAGTTTCTCTCACTTTGTTCTGCGTATGTTGGAAAGGATCCAGAATATTGTGCCCATCCTTGGGCCTCCATGTATAAGACAAACATTGACCAAGTGCAAAGAGCCCAGAATAAAGCCACCAGGACTCTTGGCAGGTGCACTTGCCCTTTGAGGTGAGGCTGTTGAGTGCAGATCTTGAAGAAGAAAGGACTGTGTGGGAGATAAGCAAGCACTTATCAAAATGCCTTATCAGGAGGTTATTGATTCAACAGTTAGGCCTTTTACTTTGGTGATTAATAAAGGAAAGAAAAACAACAGGCCACAACTGAAGCAGCAGAGGCTCCAGTTTTTTCTCATCTATGAGACAATTAAAACCTAAAAAGAGTTAATGTCTCAAACACTTGGTAGCAGAGGAAAGGACAGTTTCTATACTGATGAGATAAGGTGCAGTTAGAAAACAGCATCTTTCAATGCAGAATAACACTTTCCTTGGATCAGCTTCCTTATCTTGGGTAACTATCTCCAAAACCAGGTATGAGACAGAACTGCTCTTGTCTCTCTGACATCTGTGAAGGGAATTGAAACCATGAAGCCCCCAATCCCCTTCTGAAAAGTTTGAGAATAACAAAATGCACATGCATGAGGGTTAGTCTATAAATAGCACAACTGAGATGGGTGGGGTGTGCAACCACCACCCAAAGGAACTGAACCAGAGGCACCACTGGGACCCTGGCTGGTGATCCAGATCTTTTCCTCTATGTCTATCTTCTTCTCTTTCTTTCTTCTTCTCTTCCTCTTCTTAAAAGTTTAAATTGCTGCTCCCATGCGCTGTTCTGAAAAGTTTAGATCATTGCTGCCATGGGCCATCCAACTTATAATAAGATTTAAACTTATTCAACTTACAATAAATTTAAACTGCTGCTGTGATAAATGAAATTTTTCTAATTGATTGTTTGGCATTGTTTTGCCTTAATTTAGCCCAAAGGTATCCTGAGTGTTACTTGCCTCCAGAACTGCCTTCTAGGGACCTGATGTTTTACAGCTATCCCAGAAAAAATGGTCCAAGACCACCCTCTCAGGACCTGACACCTTCTCAGGTCAGCATGGTGGGAGAAGAATGCTGCCCTGGAGTCTCCATGCTTGGAGGTTGGTGTGATCTGACTGGCTGAAATCTTGAGCAAAATGATGGGATCCCTCATTTAGGGCTGCTTGGAGATGCCCTGAGGACTCATTCAAACTGATTGCTTTGAGAACACAATCATGGAGCCAGAGCAGAGAGAGGACCCTGACAGTCTGTTGGTATCTGCTGGTGTAGTGGAGAGCTGCTGGTTCTCTCACATGGTGATCATTACATCTTGTGTGGGCAGTAAGTGCCTGAAAAGGCCTGAATGGCCCTCACCAGCCTCATGTGGGGTTTGCACCTCCAACCATCAGCACAGGAGTTCTCCTTATGTTCACATCTGGGCCTTCACTTTCTTTCTGTGTTAAAAATCAGGAGTCCTGGTCTCTAGCTCAGTAATGGCCACAGCCATAGCGCTATCAAGGCACAGTGACCTTGGATCCAAACCTGATATGCAGATGAATGCCCTGCATTCACCTAACCCCTGGCTTGTCAGTCTGGACCTGCCTGTCAGTCACTGGACATGATCATCACTCCGACCTCTGCAGTGACTTCCTTGGTTGCAGTTGTCCCTGCTTTGTCATGGTGATAGTGCCTTCTGTTCTGGATTATTGCTTCAAGTGAGCCACCATGGCTGTGTCTATCCTGGCCAGGGATTGTAGGCTTGAGAAGCAATGTGAAATAAGTCAAGTCTCTTATTTCCTGCAAAGAAGGGTCATGTAAATCCAAGGGAGTGATGTGAGACTGGAATGATTGGATGACTGTAATATTTGAGGTATCTGAAATACATGCTTCTTTCAATAGCTCAGCTGGTAGAGTAGAGGACTGTAGGCTCCCTGGCATGGCCATCCTTAGGTTGCTGGTTCAACTCTGGCTCAAAGGAGTGACCTCTTGGCTATGGCACACATCTGGAACTGGCACTGGCACTGCCTTTTGGTCCTGCCCAGGGGGTTCCCCATAATGAGCTACTCAGTCATGAGCTTTTGTCTGAGATTGGGAAGATAAGTGGCCAAGGTATTTTTGGGTGAACCCTGGCCATGGGAAGTTGATTTTGCCACTGTGCTTGTCCGCAGTCACCTCCAGCAGGAAAGTGAGTGGGTGGGTTGGTGGTGTGAGGGTGGGGTTATTGGGAAGCCCAGGCTTTGGGTGCAGGGCACCCTGGGTGCTTGGGAGGGGAGAGGACCTCAGTCAGAGGCTACAGCCTGGGGAATTAGCTCAAGTGGTAGAGCGCTCGCTTAGCATGTGAGAGGTAGCAGGATCGATGCCTGCATTCTCCAATGCTTTTCATTCCCCTTGCATGGACACAGGACCCTTTGCCAGGACCTGTGGGTGATCATAGTATATCCAGAATGCAAAGAATAAGATGACATCTGTGTCTTCATGGGCAATTTAACCGAGGTTTCTCCCTCTTTGCTTGATAAACATCAAATGTCATCTAAAGTATTGTACCCCATTTTGAGATCTTCTAAGCAGAAAAACAGTCATAGAGAACTGTCTCTGGAGTGCCACCAAGAATCTCAAGGAATGGAGGGGTTTCTCTGTGTGGATGGGATGAGGAGAGTGGATATGTTTAGCCTAGAGAAAGAGAGGTTCAGAGGACTCACACATGACCTTTTGACTTAGAGGAGGTTTCAGAGTAGAATGGCTATGCATGTGTCATCTGCTTGGGAAGAGGGCAAAAGGCAGCACATTGAAAGGGAGCAAGGGAAAATGCAGCAGGACATGGGTGAGCTCTGTATGGCCCTAAGGAGAGTCCATCAACTCATGAAGAAAATGATGTCATGGTTTGCATGACTGACGGGCTAAAGTATTGAGCAAGGAGCTGTGATGTAGGAGCTGAGGCTGTTTGAAGGAAGATGTGGTAATAGAGGCATGATGGTGCACTGTGGCTTTGCAAGAGTGTTGGGTGAGTGTGTACAGGCTGATGTCCCCAGGATATGTTCCCATGCTTCCTTCGATAGCTCAGCTGGTAGAGCGGAGGACTGTAGGCTCCCTGGCATGGCCATCCTTAGGTCGCTGGTTCAACTCTGGCTTGAAGGAGTCACCTTTTGCCTCTCACACACATCCCACACTGCCACTGCCACTGCCTTTTTCTGATCCTGCCCAGGGCACTCCCCAGAATGAGTGCCCAGCCATGAGCTCTTGCCTAAGCTGTAATAACCAGGCAAGACATTTTTGGGTGAACCCTTAGGCAGGGGATGGTGGTTCTGACCATGGGTGCTGTCCACAGTCAGCTCCAGCAGGACTGTGAGTGGATGAGTTGGTGGTGTGAGAGT